AAATATGGTGGATGAATGATTTAAACTGTGTATTAGTTTTTATAGCCTATTTGATAGTATTACGTAACATACTGTTTAACAGTAGTTCAAATGAACACATCTGGAACATGCAGGGTAGTGTCAGTGAGGATACTTGAGTTCATCTGACAGGGCTGTGGTACACCAGACCAAATAGGTCAGGAACCAGTGCTTTAGAGAACCTGGTGCAAAGCTCTTTTATGGGCCTTTTGTACAGAGGTTCTTCAGTATTTATCTACAGTTAAAGGAGATTTCGCTCAGTCAGGTCATGCTGCACCACTTGTTCTCAGTGATGTGAAACTAAAAAACTCACACACTAACAGACCTGCACGAGCCGTTGGGGATTTGTTGACAGACGGGTTACCATGGCATCTTATGGTTTCTCCTCCACTGAGCAGAGTGTTGTAACATGAAACCTCAAGAGGGCAGCAAGTTCCAGCTAATCTGAAATACATCACTCACCCTAACATAACTTCCACAGGAGATGGCGGTGGATGTGCTGTGAGGGAACAAGGTGCACCAACTTAACTTTCCATTCATTAGGATTTGAAGACCCTGTTCTCCAGAGGGCGTGTACAGGCAGCGGCCTCCTCTTCGACATCTGCAGCCTAATCGGCGTCCTCTAGCTTCCTCTGCCTTCCTGTGGAAACTGGAAACTGCCGCGGTGCTCTGTTGTCGGAGCAAGATTACTGCTCACAGAGTACGACCCAGGGAACAAACGTCAATGAAATATTATGAACTTCCTCTTCTGCTGCAGAGACAGCAGTTATAAATAGCCAGGGTTATTTTCAGGCAACACTTGTGAGATTTACTCAGCCCTGGTCTGATCTGGTCTGGGCTGAACCTCCATGTGGGATCTGGTTACAGGACTGTACCACAAATATACAGCAGGATGAACCTGTGAACTACAGCTTGCTCTGTCCTGCCCCACGCCCTTCAAACATACATTGCTCTGTTTGTTTCAGTGGATCTGTGCATGATGAGCACGCAGTTATGCACCCACAATCCACCTCTCTCTATCTCTCACAAACAGGGGCAATTTTAAGGTGTTTATTTTACTGCTAGCTTGAGTTTTCACACTCTAGATCACCGCAGGTAATGCAGGTGTTATAACTGACTGAGAATGCAGATGTATTCATTTTTATAGTTCAGCTACTCCAAGTTACAAGTGCATCAGAATGGAGCTTGAACCTTTGCCTGAACCAAATTCGGGCCCAAAAATGCTGTCATAGGTCAGTCTCTGGTCGGGCTCGGACAGAATAAGATACATTTGTTAATATACATTTAATATTTTATTAATAATGAATGCGACTGTAATGAAAGAATTGATCATTTATTTGTTTTAATAATCATATGTTTTATATTTTATGCACAATGTTGTTTACTTAAGCTTGTAATAAACTATTCACATTTCAGGCTCTGCAATAATAAAACATAAAGTAGGATTAAAAATCACACTATTTAATTTCATTTTAGCCAGTTCTAGTAGTTAAAGCCACCCTGGAATTAAAATGGTCTAATTATTGTTATTAGACGTTTGTTGTTATCACAGCTGTTGGTAGTGTTAGTCAAATATGGGCCTTGAAAAGCCCCATCTCAGCGTGTGTGTGTGTGTGTG